TGTCCAGCTGCTTCTTGAATGGCCCCAAGTGTGGTCAAGCCATGACCTTGCTACCTAATTGATCCCATCGTTGCATCGCTCTAACAGTCAAGAGGTTTTTCGTGAAGCCCAGCCAGCATCTGAGTTCCTCTCACTTGAGCCCATTATTCTGCGTCCTGCACTCTGGAATGATCAAGAGGAGATCCCAGTCCTACTCTGTATGACAGCCTTTCAAGTATCTGAAGACTGCCACCCTCTCTCCCCTCAGTCTTTTCTTCTGGGAAGGGGAACTAGATCTTTTCAACCTGGAAAAGAGGAGACTCCAAGGGGATCTATTGGAGACATATGGGTATGTCGGGGGGTGTCACACGGAGGTGGGTAGAGACCTGTTCTCCCCTGTGGAGGAGGGCAGGACAAGCTCCAATGGAGCCAAGCTCAGGGAACCAAGGTTCAATTTGGATAACTTCCTGACAGTTATGGAATGGGCTTCCATGGGTATGGGTATGTGTATTTGTATGGGTGTGGGCTTCCACGGGAGGTGGTTGAAACCCCATCGGTGAGGGTGCTCAAGGATAGGCTGGACATGCACATGGTAGGCATGTCATGAGCGGAGCCAGCTGGAGCCAGGGGTCAGACTAGATGGCCCAGGAGACCTCTTCTGACTTGCTGTTTGACTGCTTCTCAAGGCTCAACATGCCTCGTTCTTTCAGTCTTTCTTCACAGCACTTTGTTTCTAGTCTTCTGAACATCTTTGTTTCCTTTTATGAAGTTTTTCCAGTTGGTCTGCATCTTTTTTAAACTGTGATGCCCAGAACTGGATGCAATATACAAAATGAGGCTGAACCAGTTTCTATTTATTTATTTTTTATTTATATCCTACCTTTTTCCTACAAACGGCTCAAGGCAGCTTACATCATTCTCCTCCTCCTCCTCCATCTTATCCCCACAACAACAACCCTGTGAGGTAGGTTGGGCTGAGAGTCTGTGACTGGCCCAAAGTCACCCGGTTGACTCCACGGCTGAATGGGGACTAGAACCCAGATCGTCCGAGTCCCAGTCCCATGCTCTTAACCACTACGCCACACTGGCTCTCCAGTTCTGAGTAGAGAGAACTCATTCCATGTCTTTTCTGTTTGAAGCTGACAATATTTAACTGGTGCAAAAGTCACTCGTGATGTCAGTCCACTTGCAAAGCCTCATCTGTTTCTCCATTTAGCTCTTCAGTTAGGACACAGCTAAGCATCACAAGATGTTGCTGTCAAAAACAAGGTTCCCATGTCAACTTCTTCCTCTGCATCATGTGCCAAAAAGATCTTAACGCATGATTTGATGCTGTCATGCCATGCCTTTTCCTGCCAGCAGCCCCAGCCATGCAGAGAACGGGTCCCCCTCCATCTCCCCCACTGCTCCCATCTGAATTTGGTGGATGGAGAGGCCCAAGACACAAGACCTTTTTAGTCATGGCACCTTTGTTGTGGAATACCCTTCTCAGGGAAGATGTTGAATCCAGACTTAGTCATGAGTAGACCCAATGAAATCAATCGGACTTAAGAGTGATTACTAATTTGTCCTGTTGGTTTTGTGGGATCTTCTATAAGCATGACTAAATCTGCCCTCTTCCAGGTATCTTGGCTTTCAGCTAAACATCAGAATGGCTAATGGTCAGAGATTATGGGGGAATAGTCCCAAACCCCCAAAGGCCACTAGCTTGCCCACACTTACTGTATATTGTCTTCCCATGAATTTCTGTTAGTGCCGCAGTGATTTCTGTTAATACCATGTGTGTGTGCACATAAGGACTCTAGATGTTTTTAGTTTTGTTGGCCAACTTGAAATTGTTTTAAAATGTGCCGATGTCAGGATATGAGGCTTCATGTATAAACCCAGCACAGAGATACCAGTTTCTTTTACATTCGTCCCCTTGGCTCTCATAATGCAGCAGCTTCACGTTGATTTATATTTATTACAACCTGGGGTGGGTCAATTTAAAAACCATATATCATAACCCCATTAAAACCAGGTTAACTAAAATTAAGTCATTTTCATCTAGAAAATGACCTTGATTGTCACCTAAATGTGGGAAGGCTAACTGGCAATCTTTGGGGCTGGAGCCACATGGCTTTTAACAGCTCTATCAATTTTTTAATGAATTTAATTATTTTTCTTCAGCAGAAGAAAAAGGGAAATGTTTCCAAGCTATAGGCAAAGGAGGAATTCCATACTGCTATGTTATCTCTTTCTTCTAGATTTGTACGGAATGTGAAAAACTACAGTATGTTAAATGAGCAGTGGCAAAGAAGCCATTAGGGAGGGAAGACTTCCTTCAGAAAAATAGACATTTTGCCCGAAGAAAGAGAACACAAGGGAGCACAAGCGTGCACAAGAGAGACGCAAGCGGACGGTGGGAAACGGGAAACCCAGTTTGTTAACAAGAAAAGGCCAATGATAAAAACTTGCTTAAGAGCGCAGTCCTCTACATATAGGCCCTTTTCTTCTAAACATGCACAGGATTCTGCCCCAAATATATCAGAAGCAGGACACCAGTTAGGACCACTGGATGACAATGGAGTTTGAGTACTAATGGAGGATAAAGAGGTTGCAGAGAAACTGGATTAATTATTTTCATCTCTTTTCACCACAGAAGATGTAGACTGTGCCTGAATGGATGTTTTCAGGAAGGGATTTTGAGGAACTGAGCAAAACAGGAGTGACCGAAGAGGAGGTTTGCAACCTTATTGACAAATTGAAAGTATGTAAATCACATGGTCCAGATTGTATTTATTCTGGAGTTCTTAAAGAATTCAAATATGACATTGCTAATCTTGTAACTTGTCCCTGCAGATCTAGAGCCCCAGAGAATGACAAACATAATTTTTTTAAAAGGGATCCAGAGGGGAATCTGGGTAATCAGAGGCCTGTTAGCTTAGCATCTGTTCAGGGTAAATTGGTTGAAAGCATGATTAAAGATAAAATTAGTAAGCATATAGAAGGATAAGCGCTGCTGACAAAGAATCAACAGGAAAGTCCCGTCTCATTAACCTTTTGTGGTTCTTTGAGAGTGTCAATAAACACACGGAAGGGGCAATCCAGTACACATTGTATACCTGGACTTCCCACATGCTTTTGACCAAGTAGCCAAGCTTGCTGATGAAACCAAAATTTTAGCGTGATTAAGACAAAAAGGGATGACAAGGAGCTCCAAAAGGCTCCCTCCAGCCTGGGAGAACAGGCACCAAAGGGGTAGATGTGATTTAATGCAGCTGATAAGCTGATGGGAGCTGAGCTAGAGGTGACCAAGGAAGAGATCTTGGCCAGCTTTGTGAAAATGTTGGCCCAGTATGTGGCTGCAGCATGTTAGCAAAGGAACTGAAAACAAACTTTCGATATCATGCTGCTCTTTTAAAAATGGGTGGAGCGAGCACACTTAGGTACTGTGTGTAGTTCTGCTCACACCTAAAAAAGATAAGAGATGGAAGAAATGCAGAAAAATCAACTGAAATGATCAAGGGTCTGGGACAGCTGTCCTGTGATGAAAGGTTACAACATCTTAGCATAGAAAAAGGCTGAGTACATGAAAGGACATGACAGAGGTGTACACAATTATGCACGGTGTAGAGAATGCAGGCAGGGAGACCTTTTTTCTTCTCTTTTCCTAATACTAGAAGCCAGTGGGCTAATCCCATGGAACTGACAGGTGGGAAGTTCAGGACATAAAAAGGAAATACTTTACACAGCACCAAGTTAAACTATGGAATTCTCTCCCACAAAATGCAGTGATGGCCTCTAGTTTGGATGGCTTTAGATTGAATTAATTTATGGAGGAGACAGCCATCACTGGCTAGTTGGCTAGACTAGATGAAGCCTCAGTGTTCTCCATCACAGCTCTCTTTAACTTAAAAGAGAAAGCGAGCGGAATCTAACTTGATGGGTACATCCCTAGGATAAATGCAAAGAGAATGCCATAGGTATCTTTGGAGGGTGTAGGGAGGAGGTTAAGTTATTCAAAAGCAGGGCTTAGTTTGTATCAGAAAAGAGATGGTCAACCCTCCACTGGCAGTGGCCTGCACAAAGGATGCTTTGAGACCTTTTTTTTAAAAATGTGCTCCCATACAAGTTTAATAGTATGATGCAGGGAGGCGATTGTTCAGTTCACATTTTGTATGAATTTGCCTGATTTCATCCTTTGGACCACTGAATGAGCGGCAACTGAATTATCCTTCAAAATGTTCACTTCTCTGAATTTTGCCATGGGGTACCTCAATCAAAAATATGTACAGAAATGGAAAATAAGCATAAAATGCATTGTATTTGGGGAAATGACATAACAGGAAAAATACATTAAAATGCATTTTTGGGAGAAATGTGTACAAAGTGTCTTATTATAAAATTTGAGCAGGCTTCAAAATCACAATTCCCAAAATTAAGGATGAATCAAACTTAAAACTGGAGATGTTTTTGAGATGTATCAGTCTTAAAATTGGAAAAATTTGCCCATCCCTAGTTTGACGTCTGAAGGACCAGCTGAGAGTGACAATCATGAAAATTCCAACCAGTCCTACGATGCACAGAAAGCCATGTCTATTACTATTGGCAAAGGAACATGTGTGCCCCCAAAATAATTAAAAAACATGCACTCAAGGTAGGGGTAAGGATTGGTTATTTATCCTGAGATGAGACACACCTTGTAGCAACACATGGAGGAAGGAACAGAAGATCAGCTACACAGGGGATGTGATGAGAGGGTATTGGTATTAACACTGGCAAGAGGGGGAGGAACCATGCAATGGCTTGGGATAAGAGACTGTTAGGACATGTTTAGGAACACCAGTGGGGGCATGGATGGGCAACCTGTGGTCCTCCAGGTGGGACTGGCCTGCAAACATCTCATGGTTGGCTGGACTATCTAGGGTGATGGACGCTGCCACACAAGGGCCTCCGGAGGACCACCAGTTGTCCACCTAGGGACACTGAGTGAGCACCAGTCTGCAAACACCATAAATTAAGTCACACAGGAGAAAACATGTATTAGTCTTTTTATTATTAAAGTATCAAAACATAAAACTTAATAGAAAACAAATTGCCTCTACTGCATTATTAAATGTTCAGAGAAAACAACACCAGGTACATAAGTCCATGCAGGTCTCCCCATCCATTCCGAGGCCAAGCAAGTGGCCTTCAAGGAGCTTCCCAGCGCTCTGTCTAGCGGGGGAAATGCTGCTGCTGCTGTCACACCTGCAGCACTGCAAACAGGCATGAAGGCATCAGCGGGACCTTCTCCCCATCAGAGCGCGACCAGAGCGCACGGGTCCTTCTAGACTAGAGCTGGAAGTCCCACATCCAGCACCTCTGTCCCTTGCTTCACTCAAGCAACACAAATATATACTGTCATACCACCTGGAGACACTCACACACGGTCACACACACACACACACACACAGAGGAAGCAGCTGCAGCCGACAAAGATCATCTTTGACAAAAGTAGCAGTGCTGGAGTAAACATCTGGCATGCTAGTTAACAGCCGGGGTGCTTTTACTTGAGGAAGCAGCAGTATGACGCCCGCGCCATTTTTATAGGACCTAAAACAGCATTCTCAAAATCTCTTAAGGAGGAACATCCATTCTGTGATGAACTTCAGACAGACCATCTTTACGAGAGCCTCGCACATAGGACAGCATCAGAGCCCAGGTTTTCTTTTTAATGTTTATTTGTTCGGGTTGCTTCTGGAAACATTTGAAATGCACGGACAAAGCAGGGAGACCTGGATACAGCATGCAGCACTTGCGGGTGCCATAGTGTTGGTGGCCTCTTCTGCCGGCAGGCCAGGGTTGCGCTAGGGCAGCCCTTCTGCGGGCAGAAGGTGCCTTTGGCTCCCAGAGGGCCTGCTCCACAGCTCATCCGCAGCGGGTTCCAGGAGCAAAGCATAACAGACTCCCAAAGAGGTCTTCCTGTTTATGCAAGCTGGTCTGCATGTGGAAGACAGCGGCTGATGGAGCGCCTGCTCGTGCATCTTTCGAACGGAGGGAATGAATGCACCCACCAGCACCAGCCAAGACAGAAAAAGATGGCACGGATTTCCATGTGCTAATTTACATGTAACAATGCAAATCTGGAAATCATATTTACAATAATTTAAATAGAATTCTAATATATCTCCCCATAGCGAGGAAATCTGTAATACATTGCTTGGTCAGTCCTGGTGCTTATCAGTGATGGACAACTCTGAGACACCTGCTCTCTTTTCTTTTGGCTATTCATCTTTAAACCAGAGTTGGGCTGGACAGCCCTTCAAAAAGAGGCTAGTCCTCTGTATAGTAGGGCACCTGGCCATCCTAGCAACTGATAGAATTGTGAAAACTCTTCTGCTAGTTTTTGCACAACAGAGTTCCCTGCTATGCTTTTTCCACTCCCAGCTCCTCGGTTCCAACCCATAGTATTCACAATAAATGGCAGCATATGTTCATCATTACAGAAATCAAATTAAATACTTCTCAACAAGGTTCTTGTTCACAAATTGCACATAACTATATAGCAAATCATCTTCTCCCCCCCCCCCAACACCCCCATACATTGCACAATCAATGCAGAGGCCATTACGGGGATCCATCATCCAACATGACACGAGGGAAAGCTCAAAAGTTGGCAAAGTGGGTTTTCTTTGCATGGAAAAAATAATTCTCCAATGAGACAGAATTTGGCCCATATCCTTCCATTTTTGTTACATGAAATATACATTTGAAATGCAGCATTGGACATTACAGGGACATTACAATATATCCAGATCACTAAAAGCTCATTAAGTAGTTCTGTTGCAGAATATAAAAAAATCAACGCAAGCTACAACAGGCAGCAGATTCAAGTGTACTAGTCAGAGATTCAGGGTCTAAATTTTAGACACTACTGTTCTGAGGTATTTGTGTGTGTGTGTGTTTGTGTGTGTGTAACACTGCAAAAATGGTTGGATACATGTTTTGATTCTACTGTATCTCCAATATTGATTGTGCCATTCCATTTAAAGCAGCCAGACCACAGATTTGAAAGCAAAAAATCCTTCATAAGGGGAGTCGGGGGGAAAGGAGAGGAGAATTCTCATTAAAATTCAAATTCACCTGCAGAAATCTTTGAGTTTTATTCAGGTTTTAGAATTCAGTGTTGGAATTTTTGGTGAGCTTGTCGCAGAGGGCAAGTTTGAGCTCTTTTGGGAGGTGAGTGCCATTAGCATGCAACTAATAAAAGTGGATTTGGAATACAAACTCCTTTTTTCTTTAGCTGCCATGAAATTGGACAGTTTTAGAATCTGCTAGGTTCATGGGGAGTTCATCACTGATGCAAGTCACTAGACATTTTCAACACCTGCTGTAAGATTTGGATTAAACTGCTACTACTGTGAGTTAAAGTCGGAGCCTACCCAAGACAGGTTGCCACCTGAGGAGAAAAGCAGTGTCACCCTCACTCTTCCTCAGTCAGCGCACAAAAGTGGACTGGACTGGCAGGGGAATCTCCCCTCGGCTCTGGAAGTGGGAACCATACCTGAGACCCCGAGCTAGTTCAGCGGGCCTGGGACAGGGGGTGTGGAGTACTCAGCTCTGCCCTCAAAGTGAGGGGGAAAGATGGAGGGGCCATCCTTGTCTCCCAGCATCTGCCCTGAGAGGAGGGTGCCCCACTCTGCCTAATGTAGGCCAGCTCTGAACAAAGACAACCACACCTGGAAACCTTTCCTTTATGTATGTTGTTTAGCAAAAGGAACTAAACCTTGTGGGATGGTTTGCAGTCCACACAAATTCCAGTCATATTTGTAGTGCAAAAATGCCTTTCACGTGAATTGCTCACAGGTAGGTTCTGGAGCTGAGTGCATGTAATGAAACACTCCCCTGCAGTTCCTCAAACTGCATGTGGATGGAAGTTTGCAAGCCAAGCAGTCAGGGATGCCTTGGGCACGATGTGGAAAAGGGAGCAGGACTCCTTCCAATTCCTCCGGAATGAGGAATTTCAGTGGCGCACTGGCATGGTCCCACCAGGCACGGTAGCAAAATAGAACCACTGTTGTTGTTGGAGGGGAGGAGAGGATTAATCATAGAACTGTAGAGTTGGAAGGGGCCAGAGAGCCACCAGGTCCAAACTCCTGCTCAGTGCAGAACGCCAAGTTAAACTACCCCCCTCAGAAACTCTCCAGTTGCATCTTGGATGCTCCTGGCCTGGGAGAGACCAAGACCACCTGGGGCACGGGTTCCATTGTCATAGTGCTCTAACAATCGGGTATTTTTTCCTGATACCTAGCTGGAATCGGCTTCCTGGCTTTGCTTGGTCTTAAGCCTTGTGGCATAAAGAATGCCTGTGCTACCTCTGAAGGGTGTCCCTGTGCCTTTAAGCAGGTGCAAGGGCTGCTATTGATGCAGCAATAGGGCTTGGGTCACTCATTCACTCCAGGGCCAATGTGGACTGGAACCTTGGCCTCCCTGGCCCTAGCCCAACATTCTCAACCAGACTGCGACCCCAATCTCTCCCCATTACAGGAGCCGTTGCCTAGTCATCCTGACTGGGGATGATGGGCACTGTGGTCTTACACATCTAGAGGGCACCAGGTTGTGGGGACAGCTGCTCGCATCACTGCACTACACTGACTCTTGGGACAATGATGGATGACATTTCCCAGGCCTGCAGAGAAGCTATTAAAGGGATGTTTATACAGAAAAATGTCTACAACTTCCGGAAAGATATCCTGCAACTCTCAGCATGGCTAGCTGGAGAGTGGTAAGAGTTCTAAGACCATTTTTGCCTGAGCATGCATAGGATGTGGCCTAAATCTCTTCCTGGCATAGTTATGAAGTTAGCTGTTGAATACATTTTGCATATGCCTGCAATGAACGCTTACCTATTCATTAATGTATGCAAACTGGCAGCAACCAATGGTTCCTGCTTGGAGAAAGATCAGGCCAAGGAAAGCTCCGTAAGCTGAGGAATGAAGATATTGTGAGCTACAAATCAAAGAGGGTGATTCATTTCAAATCTGGTCTTAGCATATCACTGTTTTGTATATTGTAATGTTACTCTGAATACTGTCTATATGACTCAAGCGCTGGGTCCTCCAAGGGGAATTTCCCTTTCTTTAAAAAGTAAAATAAAATGCAAGGCAGGTATGGAGGAAGATTAATGCTCCAACGTGGCAAAAGCAGACTTAGCTGAACGAGCAGTTCTGCAAGGAGCTGATGGCTGTCAAGTCCTCCCACAATTTCCCTCTGACGTGACTCATCAAAAACACCCACAGATGGGCTTCTGTGAAAACAACAGCAATAAAAAAGGGAGTACAATGCTCACTTTAAAACATTGTCAAAACACAGTAATTCCCGTTATATTGCAATGCCTTTCGGAACGGAAAGCAGCAATTTTGGAAGTTGCATACCTCTTTCTTTTGAAAGCACAGAGCAAAACAAACCAACAAGCAAACGAAAACAAGCCACTCCACCCACATCGCTGACCCAACCTGAAGTCGGCTGAGCTCCATTCATTCAGCCTCGTTGGCCCTAAGTTGTGCATCGTGGAGAGTCATAGTGTTCTGCCAGAAATAACTCATAGTGCAAGTACTCTGTGCCTGCCAGGGCTTAACAAGTCTGGAGCTTCCATGAGTACAGCTTCTGGGAACAGCAAGTATGGCAGATCCTCAGACCTGAAGCAAAGGCAGGGACCTCTCTTCAACCCAGCCTAGTCTTTTTTCAGTGGGGAGAACCACAGCTAAGCTAACAACAGCTTTCTCTTCTTCACCGCATCACCTCCTCCGCTTTTCTTGGCTAAGAAGAGACCACGAATGCCAAGATGACTTCTCTATGGCTTCTGGCTTGGGTTATTCATTTATGTTTTTGGTGGATATTTGTTTCTGTTTTGAAGTTAAAAGGCAGGACCTAATAGGGGCACCTCGGCATTGTCACTTAGCCTTGCAAGGTTCCTTCTTTGATCTGCTGAATGAACAGGTTCCGTTCGTCCTCTGGTGTCCGACCGTTCTGCGCCCGGACGATGCACGTGGGCCTGTGAAGGTTGAGCATGTAGATCAGGTGCTGCTTTTCGTTCTTCAGCTCCTCAATCTGAGCCTTCAGTTCTGCATTGATGGTTTCCAGTTTTTCTGATTCCTAGTCACAGGAGGAGGGCATAAACACAAAAACATAAGCATTGAAACCCTGAAACCAGGGAGCACGGGAGGGAGGGAATATAATCTGTCACCCGGGGACAAATCACATAACTTCAGTTCAGTAAACCATTGTAGGATTGCAGGAATCCAGATTTCATTTAAGATCAGGGATAAGTGGCCATTACACTGGTTCCCTGGGCAACCCTATGGAAATCTGCCTGTCCTTTTGTGTCTCTATTGTTAAAGCTCCTGATCACTACCCTGCTGCAGAAACTATTCCCCTCTTCCATTGCCCAGTACACAACTGGTCTGTGTCTCCCTTTGAGGTGGCAGGGTTCATGGACATCCTGCCAGTGGGACAGGTGGGATCGACCACCTGTCTGGATTCACTGCCTTAAGTGGGAAGGCCAGGCCAGGCCAGGCCAGGCCCATTCTTACAGGAAGTCCTAATCCTCCAACACTGCAGCTCTCCGGCCACCACCCAAATTAGCACTGCTCCTCTGTAAGCTTGGAACTTTCTGCAGGACACTTTCTGCTGGGGTAGCCACTCTTTCTTCCAATGCATAGCAACACCCCCCACCAGTTTCTCAGAAGGCACAGCTGCAGCCCATCCCACCTGCCCCTTTCCTGCATCCACAACTGCAACTGAGCCAAAGCAGAAAGCGCTAACTGATTGTGTTGATAATGGCATGTCCAGAGTTACTGCACCCTTGCTCAGCTCTGCCCTTTCTCTGCTCTCTCCTCAACTGTGCATTATAAAGTGAGGCTCCTTGGTGCAGGGACTGCCTTTTCTGTTTATGTGTTAATGAGAAGTGACCAATGAACTCTTCTATCTAGGAAGTTATTTATATTGGAGGAGGAAAAGCTAAAATATACTATTCAACATACAAGCTTTGATCAATTAAGCCAGGGTGCTGAACCTCTTTTAGTCCGATGGCCAAATTTCATTTCCAAGAAGCTGGGGTGTGCCAGTGGTGGCGGCGGCCAAAGGCAAAAGCAGCTGAACCAAATGCTAAATGTTCCAGCAAAAGAGGAAAGCCAGAAATATCAGCAAGTTGCAGCTTAATGCTTTTACTTTCAGTGACTATGCCTTAGAGAGGCATTTCAACTTTTTAGAATTATGGAGCTGGAGGGGAGGGAGCTGTGCAAAGACCAGGAAACTACCAAATGAAAGGAAGTCAAGGAGATGGGGCACAGCCATCCAGGGAACTAATTCCCAGCTTGGAATGCCACTTAGGCCAGGCTTAGCCCATGGGTCTGACGTTCAACACCCCTGCACTCTGTAGTACAACCTGAAAAGCTTTTAGTTTAAGATGTAATTTTGGTTTTATCCCCAAATCAGTGATGGTGTTGAGAACAAACGTGTCTAACTTGCACCCTGAAAGTGAAAAGCAACCTTGCAGCTACTATGCAAAAGAATCAGCCTTCAGTAACTCAACCAAGATTACTCTTAATAGAAAGGGCAATTCAGAGAAGGTCCAAGCCATCTACCAAGTCAGCTTTAGCAGACCTTCTTTTGACTCTCCTTTATCTTGTCCTCCCTGCTCAGATATGAAAGCAAAGCAGTCAAGTTGGCTTACTTTCTGCAGACATTCAGTTTTCTCCTTCTTTTTGTTTCGACACTTTGCTGCTGCAATCTTGTTCCTCTCCCTTCGCCGTTTTTTCCTCTCATCTTCTTCAGGGGCGCACTAGAAGAAAGCAAAGGTAGATGTCGCTTTTCAGCCAAAGTTGGACTTTCATTTCTATATCCCCTACTAGAGAAACTGGTTTTATCACTGTGCTTATCTAGATTTCTCCACTACCAACAATTTGACCAGCCCGTCGGTTCGGGATTAACTGCTATGCTCAGTACAATGCAGCATGGTGGTGACCCGGCATATTGAGCCATGACTGGAACTCCCAAACTCAGAAGCTCACGCTCATCCAATGCAGAGTGGGTGGATTGGCAAAGGCAATCTTTGGCCATTTTTGGCCATCCAGTGAAGCATTTTGAAGAGAAATGGAAGGAGGTCAGAGTGACTTCAGGATACCTTATATCTGCAGTCCACTCGCCACACCCCAAAACCTTTTTAATTTTCTCTTCTCCAAGTTTGCTTTCTCAACCTCAGAGAGCAGCCCAGTAGTTCTTTGTGAGCTAGCTCCAAGAGGGGACCGGGTGGGATCGCTGATTCCCAGCTGCAAGAATGGAGCACACTCTGTAATGTCAGAGCTGGGAAACAAAACTATTCCATGGCCCCTCAGTTGCAGTTTAGGGTCACAGCATCATTCCCTAAATGATTCACTATTCCGCTGTGGAATGCTAAAATTCCATAGCTCTGGTCAAACTCAAATATATTTTAATGGTGGGGATGGGGAGGAACTCTTGATTACAGGATTCTTCTAATCTGTGCTGAAACACCCAGCACCGTACTGGGTGCTTCCGGAAATGTTTCTTTCACCTGGCTTAGAAAGCGTCCCAGAATTCATCTCCCAAACCCATTTGCAGTGGAATGGTACAACCTTACAACCTGAATTTATTTATTTATTTAGAGAACTGCTATGCCGCCCCATTCGCGGAAGCCTCGGGGCGGCTCACAATCATAAATAAACATAATATAAAACAATATAATTTAACAGTATAATTTAAGTCACCCTGGCCAAACAGTAAAATAAATAAATAATATTAACAATTAAAATAACGTTTGAATAAAAAGGTCTTTGCCTGGCGCCGAAAAACAAATAACGATGGCACCAGGCGGACCTCTCCGGGAAGCGCATTCCATAGACTGGGCGCCACTGCAGAGAAAGCCCTCCTCCGAGTACTTACCCTCCTAATATCCTTCACGGAGGGTTCCCAGAGAAGGGCCTCTCCCGCTGATCTCAAGGGGCGGGCGGGCGTATATGGACGTAAGCACTCCTTCAGGTAACCAGGACCCAAGCCGTTAAGGGCTTTATAGGTCATCACCAACACCTTGAATTGGGCTTATTGAATCAATAAGGATGATAAGGATTTTGATGGTGTCTCTGAGCACATGGTGTACCCCTGAGAAACCACAGCCAACATCACCAGTGTCAAAGGGGGTGGGGCACCAAGCCTCCTTCCACTCTCCTTCCCCTGGCTGTGCCTCTTTTCCCCAACCACTGATTATTTAGCAGATACCCAGCTTTTGTTTCCTTTCCAGAAGTGTGAGACGCAACTCCTAAGGCTTAGTTCCCAGCACTAAGAGCTTTAACCTAAAATGAATTTTGTATTTGGTCCTGCTCTTAGCCCTTTCGCCTTTGCGCATGTCCACCAATGGAAGGTGGCCCCCACCCGTTTCCCAGAATGGCATTCAGCCCTTTGCCTGAACCAAGTCTGACACCCTGGGCTACATCTTGGGATTATGGAGAAAAACACAAAAAAGCGACTTTATACCAGCTCAGACTATTTGCCTCAGCCAGTATGACCTTACTGAGTTAGCAGCAGCCTCGCAGGATCTCAGGTGGAAAATGCTCCCACTCTTGTTACCTCATCCTTTTTAAAGGATGGAAATGCCAGTCATGGAACCAGGCATTTTTGCAGGCAAAACTTATGCTCTGCCACTGAGCTACAGACCCTCCCAAAAAGAGCGTGATTCAGATGTGTACTGGGGGCACAACACAACCACAGCTCAGCATCTGTATGTTTTCAGCCTGGCATTGGTATATTTTCAGCCCTTCGTACTAGCTCTCTCTGATAACTGACTGCAATGGGAAAATTCAGTACAAATCTCTTTATGAAAGTTTCACATATTTTGCAATTGAAATAGAATGCTTGTCAAACAATTATCTAATGTTTTTGAAAGTCTGGGGAGCAGATGCAGCATTTACTGTATTTAACTTCATAGAATGCTACTACTGAATATGATTTAAATGAAATAAAATCCAAGTACCTCTGCTTTTAAAGCAGACATTTCAGCAGGCCTATCAGAAACCATTACTGTGTCCAAGGTAGAGGGCATCCTGTGGGACAGCTGCTTATTCTGGATGGCGAACCTCAACTCTTCTTTCACCAATGGAGTTAGGTTTGTGAAGTCTTCAAAACCCAGTGATACGGCAGGAGACAAGCATGGGACAATTGCGGAGGCACTGACCTCTGAAGCAGACACCTGACCTGGGTGTTGGAGCATCATTTTGCTGAAAATGGAAGAGGAGCACAAGAATCAATGGTGCTGAAGTTTAACAAGACAACAGTATTTACCCAAAGACAGTTAATTATTCTCAACTAAGACCAGAAACAGAAAATATGACCTTTGGACATGGAACGATTCCAACATCTCTGCACCATGACTGAATACACATGGTAACATATTGATTGAATGGTTGTACATACAGAGAGAGAGAGAGAGAATATCCAAGATGTTCAGCTTCAATGCCATTGGAAATTGAAGAATTAGTTCACAAGATTAACAGGAAGCAGCTCTTACATATAATATTGCATGCAGATGAGTGCCTTATTACCAAATAGGAAGTGTGGAAAGCTGTCCATCAAAATTGGTAACAGAGGGTCGAATGCATTTTGTGAAATAATCCCACCAGCTTTTAAACTGTATCGATGCACTAATTGCATGATGTTGTGTTTAGGCACAACCCTATGCATGTTTAGACTGAAAAAAAAAAAAAAGTCCAGCAACTCCCAGAATTCCTTAGCGTGCATGGAGATCTTGAATGAAAATGCTCCATTATTTGTGTAGCCTGTGAATGTCAGAATAGTTGTGCAGGACAGGTGTACCTAACACTCAAGACGTTTACCATCTGCAACTTGAGTACCTCCAGACTGGGAGTCAAATCTGGACCTCCTGGGGTCCCGATCTAGAGTTTCCCAAGTGGCCACTTTCCCTTCTCTGCCCACCAGTTATTTGGACCTTCCCAGGCTTTTGTGCATGTCCCCACTACCACCACACCCATTCTAGATCTGGAATGCTTTTGAGCTTTGCTCAAAATGATGTAGGTATTTTGAGCCTACATCATTTGCTTTGGAGTCCACCCAATTTGCCTTCAGTTCCCTTCCATCCCTGGAAGGCAGTCCCCAAGAGCTTCTCCGAAACTGATTCTACCCCTGGACCTGAAGACTGCTTCCCACCTCTTATCTGTGAGTCACTCTCACACCTACTGCTGCATGTGCCTGTCTCCATAAAAACATTCCATGGGAACCATCCCTTTTCTCAAAGCGTGTTGTGGGAATCACTTCCACAAAAGATGTAATTCAGCTGGACTTTCTCATACTGTCACACTGAACTCAATTAACTTCCTCCCCCATTATTGCAGAAACAGTGACTCTGTGTTCAAGTAAACACAATATTTGCTTTGTAACGTGGAGGTTGAGTTACTTCATTTTATTAGAAGCAATAATGCCTGCAAAATCTTATTATAGCAAACTGTCTTCCAACAAGCTTCACACCTTAAAAACCAGCAGAAGGTTTTGTGGGCTACAGCTCATGTCATCAGATGCAAGAAATGTTACAAGCTCGCGTGCACACACACACACACACAAGGTTGAGTGGGAGAAGCTTGTGACCTGTGAAGTTCAAGAGAATTGAAATGCAGAAACTACAAACAGTGATAACATTTCAGTTCCCTCTGACTATGCTATTTACATCCTAGCCACTTCCAACAAGGTGTAACTCAGGGTAATGCTTCATGCATCTCATGAAGTGAGGCGTTGTCCACAGTCTTTCAACTGCCGTAAAACTGTTACCTTTCCTCAGAAATCCTTTTACCTTAGTACATTGCAGAGCAAAAGCAATTTCAACTATTGTTATGAAAGAAAATAAAGATTTGAAGACACTATTTTTCCAATCTATAACACCCATGTTCAAGTCCCACAAAAACAACTAATTTCTGTCTTAATTCTTTATGAACAATATCTTCCACAGAAAGCATTTCTGAAAGGAATAAATATGAAACATGGCCACTCTTTTCAATTACGCACACAGCTTGCTATATTTGTATGCCACAAATATCTGATGTTATCTGATGTTAATTTAGTCCCACTCATTTCATGGGTCTCCTCTACTTGCAAAGGATCTACAACCTGCAGTACACATGTATTTTTGTTTTTGCCAATTTCACAGCAAAATGACAGTTTAGAGAGGGTGTTTCATAGTAGTTCCTGTACAGTACTACCTCCTATGTTAGAGGAGGTAGTACTCTATGATTTTCCATGCAAAGTTTTTATGAGCTAACCTCAGACAATAAAAGCAGAACACCAAAGAGTTCTTGACCTCTTAATTTATCAGTGAAAAGATTTCCTGGAATTGTTTATTTCTATAGACCTTGAGAAACTGATGCAATTTCACTCAAAAATCCCCTTAGTCGTGAGTCAGAGCTGAACATGCTGATATCTTAAAGTCCATTCAAAAGGTAAAAAGACAGTCTACTTGAATCAAGTCAGCAAAACACCTATCGTGTTCAGGTTTATCATTTTTTCAGCTTAGTGGTAAGGCCAAAGATATAATAGAGGCCCAATCTGAATATTAAATTAAAGTCTATTTCTTCACTCTTGCATCAACTGGCATTTTTTACTGATGATGAAAATCACTTAATTCTACAAGAGATACCATGAATAACTCATTCATTTTGCAAGCTCATCTTCATAGCCTGAAGGACTAGGAACTTATCTTTTCAAAAAAGACACAGGCTGGGCTTGCACAGGCTCAGCAGGAAAGCAGCTCAGCAGGAAAGCAACCCTGATGATTTCTTTTCTCTGCCCCTGCGCGCCATCCAGGCACCACAAGAGTTGCCTAATCACCCTCGCAGCAGGCTGCTTCCCACGTTGTTGTCTGAATCCCCTGAGCTGCGCTGCAGAGATGACTCCTTTCAGAAGTTTCAGAGCCACTCTCTCCTGCCACACACTTTGCCAAGTTCAGATGGCATGAGAAGCCACGTGCTGTGAAGGCAAAGAGGCAAATTGTGCCTTGCGTGACTCCTATGCAGGGGGCAGGGAAAAGAGGCCACTGTGGCTCCCCCTCCAACCCCGCGATTGTGCAAACCTGACCACAGAAAGCTGGGATTGTGGAGATGCCGATTCAATGGGCCATTGTTTGCAGAGGCAGCATACAGAGGCCCCATTGAAAACTATGGTCCATGGGCACCCCGTGCCACTTTGTAGAGTCTGCTTCCTCATGTCGGCACTAGTGATGGTTTTGATATACGGTTTGGAGGGTTTGGGAAACAGCCAAAGTTTCATTGCACCAGTCCTCTGGCACAGAAACTGCTGAGAATGCTGGCAGCAAAATCGGACTGAAAGCTGAAGTAATCCTATCCCAAAAACCACACTGCTATGGATGAACAATCTCAGCTGTGTTTCAAACAGAGGAATGAGTCAAGTGACCTTCCCTCAGCACTGAGTAATCACAACTGGCCCAGCACACATCACGGCGAGCACCTTCCGAGTCCAAGGATGCAAGCTCAAGAAGACTTGAGTCCTACCTGTTGAGCGGCACCAAGAACATTCGCCACTGAGTTACCTTGTGATACCTACCTGACTGTATGTCAACTACTATCCCATCTTTCCTTCCGAGAGAAGCTGAGAGGGATGTTTTATCCAATGGCACCCAACCAGCATCATAATGGATGCAACTAGAACGGTGACTGGGGTGGTGGGATGTGGACAAGCCCAATGCTCCTGCTGCAGCATCTGCCACAGTCTATCCGCTGGACTAGCCATGCTTCACTTGCACTGCCTTTCCTTAAAAGAACCGTCAGGCATCTGCCATGCAGCTGCGTAGGCCCCAGCCCCAGAGGACACAGAGCATCAGCGCCACCTGAAAAAGTCACTTATGCCAAAGGACGCTCAGCATCCCAGAACAGGGCAGAAAAACCTGTGGCCCTCCACATTTGGCTCACTACTGAGGCAGCTGATCAAGGCTGATGGGAGTCCAGTCTCTGAAGGGCAGTGCACCCCCACTCCGGCCCCGAGAACATCCACAATCTTTCCTAAAACTGATGCAAGATGGCTGCAATCACAAATACTCATTCTGCAATCATTAGTGACTCCTGTGTAGCCACCATGTTATGAGAAACCAAATGAAAACAGCCCATCGCCAGCATCAAATATGCAATGTCCAAATGACTGAAAATATAAGAGATAGATTACCCTTCCCAAAGGTTCCCATCTCAGTTGTGCCCTACTCAAACAGGGTAACATCGAACTAAAGAGGGGAAAATATTTTCCTCCAGATTCCATAATCTAAGATTCGTGGCACAAACAAGAGTTACGTTTATATGCATATAGCTATTGTATACCATGAAAGAGAAATATTATTAGTACTATGAGTGCTTAACTAATGCTCATGAAATTTACAAGCCAAATCTAGTCCAGCATTGTGTATACCAACCCTCCCCAATCTGGTGAGTCCAGTTGTGATGGGCCACAACTCCCATCATTCCCAGAGATAATTTGGTGCTAGCTGGGGGTGATGAAGGTGTAATCTGACATTGCTTGTAGGCACTGGGTGATCTGTGACTAGCAGTAGCCACTCAGGATGAGTGGCCGGAAGGGTTTCTTTTGAGCCCAGCTGCCTGACACCTTTCAAGAAGAAACACTGGGAGATGGATGCCGAGGACCTCAAGCATACAAGAGTTCTGCTCCATCATATCCCTACAGAACAGCCACCCACACCATATATTTAAAGTATTTTTACACACTGATCTTTATCATGGGATGATTGGCTGCTTGTAACTTTATTCCAAGCAACAGTAGGGAATCCAAACTGCTCTCCATTCGTTCAACTTTTGCCAATTTGCCTACAGTTTGTAAAAAGGGAGAGTTTTACTTTCTGCAGAGGCCCACCCACTTCCTCATGACTGACAGACACACATAGACCAAACAGATATTTTGTGTATTCCTTAGGCTTTTGATTTGGCCTTATAGTTACCATCCAATGATCCTGTGTACATTCTAAGAGTAAATTCATTCTGAACGTAGGCACTTAGGTAGCCAGAACAACTCCATTCACACACAACAGGCAAGGGAACAGTAGCTTTGGGGAAGCCTACAATATTTGTATGTATGTATGTATGTATGTATGTATATTCATAAGAACATTAAACCCTAAGTAGGGGGATCCAAACAGTCCAATGAAAAACAGATCTGTTCAGTGGCCACACAACGCTGGCTGTTGTTGGAGCAGGGACGAAATACAATATCCAGGAAGAGGGTCTTGCTAGGTTGCTGGAACCCTGAACAGGAGTCCCCATGTGTTCAATTTATTCTCTCTTATTTTAATATTCATAACTCACCTTTCTGATTATATCCCCAACACATTTATTTTGGAACACTTACAGAGGGTCCAAGCAGACTTGGTGATGGATCAAAGCCTACATTTTTGGAAAGCTGAATTACTTTCAGTCAACTTGGTTGACAGAAGCTTTCCATTCATGTTAAAAATAGAACAAGGCGTACTACTCAATCCTTTTGCCTGTTTTGCCTGATCAATTTGCTTTTGTGTTTTCCTGAGTATTCCCACCCACCCCCATTTCCTGCTGGTACAATAAAACCTGTTAAACCACAGAGGTTTGACTACCACAGCTTTGAAAGCAACCAAGTTCACCCCTACCTTGAACTGAACTTGACCTTTTAGGAGTTTGACATTGTTATCTGGCCACAGTTATCTGCTGCTTTCACAGCTGTTGACACGCAGAAGAAAATTAATACTGCACAGGAAAGTATTGTCTACCATCCATTTTCTGCAGTGTCCTTACCAAAACCTGTTGGCAAATAGGGCAGCTGCATTTGTCTGCCACAGCTTCCTCGCCTAGTGTCCTCCATATGTACCAGGCTGCAATTTCCATAATTTCCAAGGCATCGGAGGAGTTGCAGCCCAGCACATCTGGAGGACCCCAAATTCAGAAAGGGTGATTCATGTGTCAGGCTAAGGTAATTCACAATGACGCTCATTGCCAGTTATGAATCTGTTTATTCTGCCTTGTTGGAAGCAATATGATAGCTGGTGCAGTGTGGTGGTTAAGCGTTGTGGTTGAGCTGGGATTCAGGTGATCCAAATTCTGGCTTTGTTTCAGCCATGGAAACAAACTAGGTGACTTTGGGACAGTCACTGACTCTAAGCCAAACCCACCTCGCAGGGTTGTTGTGGAGTAAAATGGAAAGGAGGAGGAAGATTACATAAACTGCCTTAAGTTCTTTGCAGCACAAAGGTGTGATGATGCTACTACTAATAAGGTATAATCAATCTGTATGCAGAGTTAGTGAGAGTAGACCCACTGAAATCAATGGGGCATCAGCTAGTCACTACCAAGTTCCGCTGATTTCAGTGCTCTACTCTAAATATGACTAAACCCAGATCCAAGCCTTATCATCAATAGCCTCTTAAGTGATTTGTGCCATGATCCTAGGCTCTCACACAGAGTAAGTGCTATCAAACTCAGTAAGGCTTAGTTCTGAGTAAATGTGATTTGAAGGGAAGTCTTGCTGTGCATTAGTGCTATAGAAAATAAAGCAAGGCTGCAAACTTAAATGCTTTTACATTAAACAGAATGGTACTTATTTCAGAGTAAGTATGCATAGGGATTGCTCTCGAACTCAGTGGGATTGCTCCCAAATTTGTCCTCTCTCATTTATACCACCCTGAATCATAAAACAGTCTTCAGAGGCCCTTCCCTGGGCCTTCCCAGCAAATGAAGTGAGACTGGTGCTGACTAAGGGCATGGCCTTTTTTGTAGTGGCACCCCAGTTGTGAAGTGCCCTTCCCAGAGGAGCTTGCCTAGATTATAGTCTTTCCAGCAAAAGTGAACACCTTATTTTCACAGGCATTTCATTTTCATTTCCCCAGACTTTCATGTTCTCTTTCTTTAAGTCTGATAAGGTGTGGCATGTTTAGACGGGGAAAAAAAGACTTTGAACTCCCAGAAAGCTCTTTTTTCTGAATAAGCCTTACAGATTTGCACCTTTTCTGTTTTTTGTTTTTTGTTTTGTTCATTGTTAAACTGTTGCTGCTTTTGCTTTGATTTTTATATTGATTTGATATTGTGGTTTTTAACTTTTAAAAGTTATATATTGTTTTGCCATGCTGTATTTTATAGTTTTAATTAGGTAATATGGAAAATAGTAGATAATAATAGCTATAGAATTGGCCTTCCCAGCAGCTGGGCTGCAGAAACTTACTTCGGGAGTAAATCCATTTAACTCAGTGAGTCTTTCTTCCACGTCAACATGCGCAGGGCTTACCCTGGCTCATCATGAGTCGCCTTCATACAAATAAAACCTAAAGATCTCTTCGTTCTCCCTCTAGCCACAGGAAGATTCCTTCAGTGAAAACAAACTATTCATTCCTTTGCCATTATGCATCATTTAGTCATTTCCCCTAGCAGGCTACCAAAGTCTGACACACCGAGTCGCTCAAAATCTCTCCACATGCCTGCTATGGTCCCTGTGAGCCTACTCTGATCTTCTATGGTTTGTATACTGAAACCGGACTGCTTGGACCGGCTCACCCACTCTAACGCTGCGTCGAAAATGCCCAAAGTGACAGCTGGAGTAGGAAGCGCTCGCCGAAGTAGCCGCGGCGTCCCCCGGCCAGCGCAGCGCGCCATCTACTGGAGGACGGCGGTATGACCGCCTCGCTCAAAGTACTGTAGAGTTAAGCCTTGAATCTTTCCGTCAACTTTCGGCAACCCGCAAACTTACCGTAAGTGACATAACGATTGATTATTATCAGTGATTAGATATTCCCGAAAGAGCAGTGATGAAATGACATCTTAACGGTGACCTGATGGAGGAAAATAACCGCGGCACCTGGCTTTTTACGCAGTTCTAATGACACGAACTCGGGCCGTAAATCTGAGCGGCTGCTCCCGTTTTCCCCGCGCTCCGGCTCTTTTGGGGTGGAGGAGAAGCTGATCCCCCCCCCCCCAGGCACACACGCCCCAAAGACCCCGCGATGGCCAAAACTATAAGACAGCAACGAACAACGCTCCCGGAGAACTCCCAAAAGGAGGAAACTAAACGAGAGTTTCTGCGGCTGAGGTGTGTCTCTCAGCTGCGGCTCAAAACTCCATACGGATGAATGAACTTTTGCTTTCAGTTAGTTGCGTGTGCGCTTAAAAAGCAAAACAAAAAACAGGCTATTGGATTGAGGGTTTGTCCAACTCATCAACTCCAGGAAACCACAATCTCATCCACTGATGAGAAACAAAGTTCGTTCCCCCCGCTCTACCCGGCGCCCCTCCTAAAAGTCAAAGAGCGCTTTTAGAAAGTTATTAAGACCTACAAGCGGGAACGACCGGTACGCACGTATCTAGGACGACACGGCTGGCTACTGACACCCGGCTTTCCCATCGCGCTCCTCATCCCATCGAAAGACAGGATCGAAAGACATCGAAAGACAGAAAGACCCCTCTCGTCCCACCCATCCACTGCCTTTCTGCGTCGCGCAACTTTACCCGTTCCGCGCGTCCTCTTCAGTGTTTCTTTCTTTACTTCTCCCCCTTGTCAGCGCTTGGAGAGTTTCAAGGCAAATAAAAACAAGCGTGTCTCAGGGACTAGCCGCTTAAAAAGTGTGGAACGGGGGAGAGAGAGAGCTTGAGAGAGAGATCTTTGCGCTGCTGTCGAAGCAGGAGGAGAGCAGCAGCGCCTCCGCGCCTCTCTCGCTCGGAGCGCCTCTGCGCGTCTCTGCCTCCCCGCGCGGTTGCATCACTCCCTTTATATAGCCCGGCGGGCAACGTCGGTATTTACTTCTGGCCGGGAGTCCTGGGTTGATGTCATGCTATTAATAGATCCTTCAGCGGGAAAGCGGAGGAGGAGGCGTGGGCGTGGCCGCAGCTCCGGGGGCGGGGCCTCCGGTGATGCAAGCCCCCCCCCAGGCCAGGGGGCGGAGCGGCAGGCCAGGGTGCGCCTTGCGCGGCCCACGCTCCGCAGGAGGCCGGACGGGAGCCGCGCCCGGCGGGGTGGGCCGTGGCCAGATGTGAGTCCCCTCGGGTGGAAGCGGCGTGGCCGCCCCATGAGCCAAGGCTGCCCAAGCCAGCGCATGACTGCAGCGCGCTGGCATCCGGGCGCGCAGCGGCGCGAAGGGCCGGGCCTCCGAGGCGCGCCCGGGAGGTGTGCAGCCGAAGCTCCGCTGGGAAAGGGGGCGCTTCTGCTGCTTCCGTCAGGCGGGCGGACGCGAGGCCTGGAGGCGATGCGCGCCTCTTTCGCGAAGCTGCCCGAAGAAGAGGGGCGCCTGCCCCCCCCTTATCCTCTTTTCGCATCCGGGTCCGGACGGTGTCAGGGTGATTAAAGGAACTGGGTGTTGCACTGAGGGATCGGGCGACTTCATCTGCCTCCGGGAGGCCCTTAACTGCGCGCTCCCTCGTCTAGCACGTCGGTGTACATCAAAAAGAGAGAAACTTCCCTTCTGTTTCAGACAGCCCCTTTGCTGCGATTGCATCCCCTCCCGGCATTCATGGGTGCCAAAGACGCCGCATGTGCGCGTGTGAGCGCCTTTGGTTTAGGACTCGGCCCGGCATCGTTTCATTGGAACCGCGCTTTCCAGTAATAGCACCTCCACGCTGCTGCCGCAAATGAGGGTTTATAGTAGCCGCACGAAAGGCCGTAGAAGCGGCGAGGAACTGAGTGGGAAGGGCTTTCCTTCCTTCCTTCGCGTCTTCTCGCTTTCTTTCTTGCACTCTTAACAGGGCGACGCGCACAGCCTTTTCACCCTCCCGCAAAGCGCTCCTCGAGCGGTACCCCCAATTAGGGCCCAGAACTTTTCAGAGAGAAAACTGACCCGCATCTCTTGCCCTCCCTAGTTTCTTCCCGAGATGTTTGGTGCTGGCGTGGATGATTGATCTTATCACAGTTACGGGGATCTTTTCCCCTCGTTCCTACCCACGTGCAGCATTAAGGCGGGGGGAGGTCCTCGCTTGAAAAAAGCCTTGGAAATTGCGTTCTGTTTGAATTCTATGTCCAGATCCGAAAGGAAGCTGCCTTTCAGGGCGTGGAGAACGACGAGCCGCCTCCCCGCCCGCTCCCTATTTCTCGGAACCCGCACATACGGTAACGGCACCGGAGCAAGGATCGCAGCCCGAGCCTGGCGCACCGTTTGCTAAAGGAAAAGAGCTTTTCACAGTTCGGAGGAGGGGCGGCGGCGGCGAGAGGTTCTCGCCAATGTAGTGCTTTTTCTCCCGGGCCAATTCGCGTCCCTCCGAAGTTTTCCTGTATGGGCGTCCGAGAATCTTGGTTTGGCAGTGCGCTTGAAAGGGGTCTGATCCGAATGAACAGGCGCAGAACTGACTCCCTTTCCTTCCCAACAAAAAGTTACCCGCGGAATATTGGGTTGCGGGGCGGGGGGAGAGAGAGCAAGCAGTGCAATCAACAGTGACAGAAGAAAGGTGGTTTAGAAACCCTCCCCCGATTTTGACACTACCAGGAAAACGCGGCGGAATGCCGCCGAGATAGACTGCTTGGCCGTATTTGGTGCAACCGCGTAAAGGCGTGTGCACGTCGTATAATGCCCCTATTGCACACGCAACAACTTGCAGCAAAAAACCCCCCAAAGCCCATCGCTCACTGCTGGCGCTCCAAATTCCTCCTGGAGTCTCGGCTCCCCCTTAATTGCAAGTAAAGTCCTCTGAATGCAGTGGAAACCCCTGCTTGGGATCTTCATCTTCCCACCAAAAGGATTTTGGTCATCACCTCCGATGCAATGCAGGTGTATGTTTATTAGGAGTAACCAGGCAGCACATATGCGATTTAAACGGAGCAAACATCTATTCCCAAAGTCGCTGCCATGACTCAGCTCAGCTGAATGTTCCTGAAATGCACTGGGTCGGATTCAGACGCAGTCGTGCTTAGACCAGACCCACTGAAAAAATCAGACGAGTTAGTCGTGACTAACTTAAAATTCACTTATTTAAGCCCGGACCCAGCCAATGTATCATGTGCGGGTAAATCCTATGAGAAGGCAAATAGGATTACAGTTTGACTGATCATACATTTGTGTAATGCACACATCAGTCTCCATTGTTCAGAATTTAAAACTGAATATTAAAATAGTTCTCTTTCTAATTTATCTCCTCCACTAATAAGATTTGCACGTGCATCTATATACAGAGACTCCGAAAAAGTTTTAAGTATTGGGGGGGGGGGGGAGGTTACTCTAAAGGTACTCAAGGGGTTGGGTTGCTTTAACACCTGTTCCAGGACTTCATTGTGTGCATAAACTAGATTCACCTACTCTTCAAGGTTTTTGGCCATTTTACAAAAGATGCTTAAGGTTCTGCTTTTTCCATTAAAAAATAGACATCATGGATAGCATGTTGACATATCCATAAAGGGAGATTCGCTAGAACTAGATATGGGATAGGGAGAAACAGACACAACAGAATTTTCTCTGTTTATTTGAACTGTCTGCTCTTAAATAGCTGGTTACAGTTCCCATAATCTCATAACAGAGTTTGGCATTTTTATTTCATATTTTTACATAGTTGCAGCTTCAGTTTTGAAACACTGGACGTTCCTTTCCTCAAGAATACTCTAGCTTAAAAGTAGTTTTGTCTGTCTGTTGTCAAGTTGGTCCTAGAAAAGTATAAAAGAGAAAAATAATATAAAACAGGAATGGTGATATTTTAATCACCAGGTGCTGTGTTGGTATGAGAGTAAAGTAACTTTCTTCATCAGGCAGAATTGAAACTTCCAATGCCTTTCCAGTAATTTAAAAAGATATGTTTGTATTCAGGTTTTGCATTATATGTCTCTAAGAATAAGTTAGCCTTCCATTCTGTGTGATTAAAAGGTTCAGCTAAATCAGACAGTCTGTACACCTGTGTTTTAAGAGAAAGGTAACCAATCGAAGCTATTGCTTCTTATATATCTAGGCTAGTACTGTAATCATAAACTTGAACCATTTTATTTATTGCACAAAAAAATGTTCATGATCTCAGCCTTGACTTATTCGCAAGTGTGCCCAATTGATTTTCACAGTCGTTTCGTGCAAATAAATGTACAATCCTAAGCATTCTTTCTAAGAAACTATTCCCACTAAATTAATTGAGACGTTTTTCTGAGTAAATGAATTTAGGCTCAACTTACAAAAATGCAATGTTGCTGCAAGCTCTGCTGGGCAAAGCTTGAATTCTTTCTCTGAAATACTGCAAAGTGAAATTTAAAGCCCCTTACTAATTTATTATGTATATGGAGCTCTGCTTTGGCAAAAGAAATTAAACATCCACGAATGAAGTGGAGATCTATTTCTCAAACCACAGTCCCATGCAGCTGGAGAAATTTATCTCAAGCCATATAATAGGTGGTAGTTCCATTTTATCTGCTGTCAAGTCATCTCCGACTTGCAGCGACCCTGTACATGAATGCCCTCCAAAACACCCTTGTCTTGACAGTCCTGCCAACCCCTAGAAACCCAAGGCTGTGGCTTCGCTTATGGAATCAATCCACCTCGTAGTTGATCTTCCTGTTTAGGAAATCTCCCTTTTTGGTCATAGTGCACCTCCATGGGGTAAGCAGTCCAGTGCCTTCCAGGTGTTTTGGGCTGCAGCTCACATCAGCCCTGACCATAAACCATATGCGGGGAGGTGCTGACAGGAGTTCTAGCTCCAAACAGCTGAGGGGCAAACAGCTGAAAGCAGCCTTCCTCAACTGGGTGACCTTCAAGTGTGTTGGGCAGCGACACTCATCCATCACAATCAGTATGGAGCGAGCTGGATGGTGGCTAGATAGCTTCCTATGATGTCCTTTGTTCCATTGACTTCTGTTGATTCATGTTTCTTGGTCCATCTAACTGAGGATTGGCCACAAGGGACTGGCAGTGCTTCAGAGAGCGGTCACTCACTGCCCTACCTGGAAATACCAAGAACAGACGCCTGGGCCTTCTGCACACAGAGCAGGAGCCATAGCGCTGAGCCGCAAAAGAGGGGCTTTCTAAACATAATAAAAAGCAAAGGGTCTGATTTCTTCAGAAGTCTTTTTTCATTGGGCTGACAAGGCTACAGCAGTGTGGACTCCGAAATGGTGAAAGACCACTGTTACTCTGCCTCTTAATGGGATTTTTCAAGAAGCTTATTCACTCATACGAATATAAGCCATATAGGATCAGACCAGGCGTCCATCAAGTGCAGCCTTCTGTTCACACAGTGGCTTATCAGCTGCCCTCTAAATCGCCCAAGCCGGAGGTAAGCACAACAGCCCCTCTGTCCAGGATCACACACAACTGGTGCACATAGACATATTTCTTCTGATACTGGAATGTTGCCCCTAATATTGGAGCTACGCCATAGTCTCCCCCTGGTCATGACCAGCTCATGTGCTCCATGCTCCAAAGCCCTTGCTGTGATGCCAGCGTGATCATGGTAGATCCCCCTCCTCTCTCAGTTTTATCACGGTAAAACCTATCATGCAGAACCTTTCATGGTAATCATCTATTATTATGGTCAAGCCTTAACCTCATGGAGCCTCGCCATCCCTATGCATAAGGGAGTTTTCAAGAAGCAGGTTCATTCCACAACCTTTCCATGGAGATGATGGACCATTGCGCTCCATATCTGTTGAGTTCTCACAGCTAGTAGACTCTCGCCATCCCTGAGTCTTATTTTTCCAACTCCTGGTCCAGTGTTGAGAGGAATGGACAATTGGCCACATAGAATCCAGGAGATTGGCCAATCCCTGATTTAAGGCATAATCAACACATACCTTTCTAGAGG